TGAATATGGTCTTGTGTGGGTGATGTAAAGGTAAGGTGAAGCTGAAATCGGAATCACAAATTGTGTTCGAATCCTGCATTATTTCTTGCGTTGTCTTTCGTACAGATGCCCTTTGTGAAGGGTATGAACCCATCTCTTCTCTCACCTATGGGTTAAATAAGGAGGAGGAATACATTGAATTAAAAAACGTGAAAACTTCTACTCCACTGTCTTTCTCAGGAAGTTGTGGCAATTCACAAATCATTAAGCAAGAGAATCTGTAGTCATGGAGAGCCATGCAAATTTGACTAGAAAGATTACACTAACCTTTCAAACAGGCAACCCTTGAGTGTCTACAGAAAAGAAATTCGAATTTGAAAAAAATTCGAAATCCTTAATTTAACTGGATTCAACGGCCATCAAAAAAGCCATGTAGTGTTCGTGTATCAAAATTGGTTAAATGAACTTATCTATGAATCTATGAAGGGTGCTAAAAAGTGAACAGCTCAAATAACATTCCACCCCCCAAAAAATGTAAAAGAAAATAATTTTTCTTAGCAAGTAATTTGGGCGAAGAAATACACCACACACACACACACACACACACACACACACACACATATATATATATATATATATACTTATGAGAAAACGATATACATTTTTATTTATCAAGAACAAAAAGTTTACTTGTGACGCGTTTCGTCTTTCAGGACTTCATCAGATTAAATTTGTTATGTTGGTAGAACTATACGTCGTGCGTATATGTAGTCCTACCAACATTATAAATTTAGTGTGATGAAGTCCTGAAGGACGAAACGCGTCGCAAATAAACTTTTTCCACTTTGTCGTACAATTTCCCCAATATATATAACCTCTCCTTTACTTCTTCCTTACTAGGCGGCAATTTCGTGCAGTTAAAACTGTATCTGTTTGTAAATCACTGTTTTGTTTTCAAATACAAAGGCTTTACTTATATCTGTTGCGGAAACCTCGTCAAAGGGATGAAAAGTCGGAAATTAAAATGATTCAATACACGACTTAACCATAGAGACGTTCGCGATGTGACTTTATCATAATCCCTTCTTGCATTTTCATGTTTGATTCTGTGGTTCAGCAGTGGTTTTAGGGATATGAGTCATAATAATAATAACTGTATTATTTACTTCTAAATGGTCTGATTTAAACGTTATCAAAACGAATTTGTATCGCACTCGCTTTAGTTGTTTTCAATTTGTATTGTATGGATAATATTTAAAGTATTTCTAAAAATTATCTTTTTACAATTCATAATAATTCATTTATTATTACTTGTTACGCTTGTTAAAACTTTCATACTTGCAATGACTGATACACTTGGACAGAAGTGATTCCTCTATTATTATTATTATTATTGTGGATTCCGGGATGAAATCCGGTACCAATAAATAACAAACGCCAAGAATGAATATAGGAAAATAATGTATTAACGTAATAATACAACCTGGTAAAGCAGGTTAGTAGTTCCAGGAATACGGGTTAGTAGCAAAATATCTATACAGTCTTTGGTATTGAATTATCGCTGTATGACTTTTTACTGAGTGTACGTGCTCGATCACTGTGACTCCTACAACACTGTTACCTCACCCTCACACTTCCGGTTACCTACAACCTTTTACTCTGTCACTCTGGACTCGACTCGACTCCTCGGTCTTGCTCTCTCGGGTCTTCACGTCTTCATGTATATACTGGGTGAGTCCATTTGTATAAAAAGGGGTGGACCCCTCAACAATTATTATCATTATTATTATTATTATTATTATTATTACTAGTTTACACATGGCGTAAAAAGTTTTAATTGTGAGATGCAATGAAACAAAAGTCTTGAAGCAATGTATTGAAATTCAGTAAAGCAGAAATAAAGAATTTGTAACTAAAATAGAGGTCATTTAATCGTGTGACAACAAAGCCTATTTCATAAAAAATATTTCGTATGTGAAATATTAACAAAATTCAATCGATAATGTCACAAAAATGTAATCAATTTAGTCAGAAGATCGTATTTATAAAAAAAAAACTCAACTTAGCGCAAAAACATGACCTTTTCGAGAGAAACTGATGTCATTTTCGGATTCAAAAAATTATCCTAAATCATTTGGAAAAACATAGACAACTTAAAAAAAAAAATTGTTTCCCAGTGACGGTTTGATTATTATTATTATTATTATTATTAAATGGGGGAGCGGTATGCTAACAAAATGACGCTAGGATACAAATATACGAAACCCAATATACCCAGTGATGTAAGAGTATACCAGGCACATGCATCACAGCCAAATGTGCGTGATATAGTGTCAGGTTTCCATAAAGAAATCGCATAATCTTATATGTGGGCCTAGAAATATTTTCAGGTTGTAAAAGCCAGTCCACTGAGACGGTTCCCGGTATCTCATCATTCAAATTTAAGAGCACAAACCTCTTGACACCAGGCCATGAAGCTCCCCAATTATTCATGTTCATGCGCGTGTCCCAAGAGAACAAACTCAAACGGCAATGGTCAGATAACTGACAAGCAAATATATCGAACTGAATGGGATATTTACCGTAACCCATCTAAATTCACCCAAACAAAACATGTATACGTTAACACTTCCAATCAATTAAGTTTAGAAGCCATGAGCGCCATGTCTGGTATCGTATCAAGGCATTATTAGTAGTAGTAATAGTAGTAATATTAGTAGTAGTAGTAGTAGTAATATTGATTTTGTAAGTATAGCTTAGATATGGCACAAGGCCGAAATTATGGGGCACCCAGTGAAAATCGAACTCACTATTCAGTCGTAACTGTATTAGCGAGACAAGCTTGCTAACTATTACAGCACGTCGAAATGCCCTAGTAGTAGCAGTAGTAATAGTAGCTCATTTCTGGTGGCTGTCACTGGCAGCAAATATCCTCAAAACTCCACTCAGTCATTCTTTGATTACTTACATAAACCAGAATATGTATATTGCTCAAGTAATATAATTAGTTACTCTTTTCTTTTTCATCTTTGGAAAATTTAAAATTTGTTGCATCAACTACATTTAAACTATCCTCCGGTCATAGTTGTCAATGACTTTGTACTATTAGGGCCCCGGTTATGGACAAATAGTCAACGCCTAAACAAAAACAAAACACTGAAAGTATAAAAATACATTTTTATACTAAAAATGCCAGCAATACATTATCTTTTCGTCTTGGGTATGACGATAAAGTACATCCGGCAGCAAGGCTTCTGATCGGGAGATTGGAGGTTTTGAGAAGTGTCGAACCCCCTCTTAATTGCTGTTGTTCTTAGCTATGGGCAAATAGTGAACCCCTCAAACGAAAACGAAACTTTATGAAATTATAAAAATACATTTTCATAGGAAAAATACCAGCAATACATTATATGAAAAATATCAACAATACGTATTTTACAATAAAAATTACCAACAATACATTTTATAGTAAAATTACCAACAATAGATTCTACCTGTAGTTGAAGGCCACGGTTGTGTTCAAAATATATTTAGTTGAAGCCATAAAATTGTGTATAAAATATTTAGATTTCGGCATTAAATAAGTCATAGGTGTTGATATGCCGCTAAACAAAATCAACCAAATGGTTGGGAAGCCAATAATGAGAGTTCACTAATACTGTAAAACGAGGTCTGTATAATTTTAACGTTCATATCTTTACCAAACATTGGCATAACAGTATCATCCTCATTATCACCAGCAGCAACACCAACATAATCATTCTTGAAATCTGGAGTGCAAATAAATTGTATAGTCTGCAGTAAAAACAGAACCAGTGAATAAACTTATATTAGGTTGTCCCAAAAGTTCGTAAACACTTGCAAAAAATTGAAATTTTACTCGCCAAATAATAACAAAAACAACAAGAATTATTCCTCAAAATAAAGATCATCATTTTCAAAGATTTCTGCCATCGATCTGCAAGCTTTCGGATATGGTGAAAGTATCATTCAACCGGCTTCGAATCAAAGAATTCTTGACACGCTTCCTCGACTTCATCAAACGAATCGAATCGGCGGCCCCTTAGAAAGTGTTGCATTGAGCAGAAAAGGCCGTAATCTGATGGAGCACAATCAGGACTGTAGGCTGGATGTGGCAGAACCTCAACGCCGTCCAGCTCTTCAAACTTGTCTTTGGTCTTCCTGGCGGTGTATGGCTTGGCATTGTCCTGCTGCATCAAACCGCGCTTTCGGTTGATCAGAGCCGGGTACTTTTGCTTCAACTTTTCATAGACCCGTTCCAGTTGCTGACAGTAAAGTTCGGCACTGATGGCACGACCATTCGGAACCAACTCAAAATGTACGATTCCTTCAAAGTTCCACCAAACGCACAACATGACTTTCTTGCCGAATCGATCTTGTTTTGGAACCGACAGTGTCTCTTGCCCTTTCTGAACCCATCGCTTGTTTCGATTGTGCTGGAACAGATAGACCCATTTCTCGTCCGATGTCACAATGCGCTTCCAAAAACACTCATCCAATGGATTGCTGAGCAATTGGCGGCAAATTTCAACTCGTCTGTTGGCTTGTGCTTCGGTGAGTTCGTGCGGATCTTGGCGCGGCTTTTTGTGAACAAAATCAAGTTGCTTCAAGTGTCGGTGAATTGTCGATTTGCCAACTCCAACCTCATCAGCCAATTCTCGATAAAGTAAAAAAACAATTAAAAATTGCATAAAAATTCAATTTTTCGCAACTGTTTACGAACTTTTGGGACAACCTAATAACAAAGCTTTATTGCACTCTGACTACTCGTCTACTGCCGGATGTTACTGGGTGCTTTTTATACCTCCTAGATCTTAGGGGAGATATCAGTACAAAGCCAATGACAACTTTTTAGATACAAGTCCTACTAATTAACATAGCATATGTGGATTTTTACCTTTTCCAAGCATGAATATAACGAACCCGACTGAAATTGGAACTCAACTCTTCGATTTTCAATTCCGAGTCGTTATTTATTTCACCATCCGCACATCCAAACTTACAGCACGTTATTCCCAAGCGGTAACTCATTTAGGTACTGAGCAGGCTCGACGTTGCTTAACTTCGGTGATCTTAGGGGAACGGATATTTTCAACGTGATATTGCCGTGAGCCATGAACGAGAAGGGATAGTAGAGAGATAAACATTGCTTCTTAGAAGCATAAAGGATAGATAGTTGTGGTCATGATCGCCTACGTCCTGAAGGGACACGGTACACCAAAGACGAAGAAGAATTGGTTGACAGATATTATATAGCAGCCCATTATTCTTTACTACTTTTCTTATTTTTCGACCCCTTAGTGTCATATTAAGTTTCTAATCAATATCGTTCGCCATTTTTACTACTTCACCTCTTACTACCTCCAGAAGAATTTACCATTTTGTCTGTGCTAAAGTGAAATAACCTGGACGCATAATGAGGAAAGAGAGCTTGGAAAACTTAACCTTTACGGGGCATATTGAGGGCAGGTAAGATAGACGAATGGATGGCGGAACGGAGGCAAAGGGAGAAAAACTGCTACGAGATAGGAAGTCATGGAGAGCCATGATCGCTTATGTCCTGAAACGACGCGGCACATAGAAGATGAAAGAGTGCTTCCATGTAGCATGCAAGAGTCTGATCGACACTAAAAGACTATGAACAGTTTGGGGTTTTATCATACACTTACTACTACTATTCGAGTGCTTTTTAACAAAATACTGTGATAGTTGTTTGAATTTCTCAGATGGAGCTTTTTCCTTGCTAATTCTTTTTCATTCGTTGATCTTTCATATAATTATTACTTTTTATTGCAGTATTAGGGTCGTTTCACAATCTATGACAAGTAAACAGAATGATTCTAAAATAAAGAATGTAGAATGACCTGGACGCTCAATTAACAAGATAAAAGTTACCACTAATATCACGAATAAAGATGTTTTTATCTTGAAAAATAAGGAAACTAAGGACCATTACATCATCTCTACTACTACTACTACTACTATTACTACTACTACTACTACTACTACTAGGTAGTAAACTAACAATATAGCGTTTTTAAATTCACGAGAATGTAGCTATATAACTAAACCTGACTTTATTTAGCTGGTTGGTCTCTGTGGTTAAATGGTAAACGGATTCCAAAATGATGCGAGCGCAGATGTCAATGGAAAATATTTATTTCAATATGATAAAAGTAATGGTTTGATAGCCGTTTCCATACAGGAAACATTAGGCATTCATTGATCGAACAGTTTGCCTTACTGTCGGTCGAAATTTATAAAATCCTTTAATTAAAATGTTTTTTTTTCTAAAAATAGATTTTCCACTGATTTTAGTCCACTGTTATCGCGCCTTCTAGAATTGATAGGAGTTTCCTTCCTAACTATTTTTAAAGATTATATGGAAAGTAAGCAACTTCATTATATTACCTTCAAATTATATGCGCCACCTAACTTAGTTGCTGTTACTGTTGAGAGTCTTCAAGTGATGTGGTTTTTATTATTTGGTAAACCTATTTGGGAGGAGCAATGGATAGCGTCTCGGATTGTGGTATCGGAGAGCCGAGTTCGAATTCCAGTCGAATCCATTACGTACTAATACCCTTGGGAAAGATATGAATCTTCTTCTTCCCAGAACAGACCGGGTTCAAAAGCCTTGGATGTGAATTGATCTACTGCAGAAAGAGAAGGCAACCTACTGCGGGAAAAAATCTGCCTCGTCAGTCATGTATCGAAAGAGACATGATCGTCTAAGCGTGTATCACGCATGGCACATAACTGACTGACTGATTTGGGATGCCGTAGCAACAGAGTTTGATGAATAATTGTCTTCTTTAAGACTTAAATTATTCATTTGTTTGAAGCTATTTTTCATCGTTGATCTGAGAAAACTGTTGTATACAAATGATAGTTTAGATAAGTATGTCCACTGTTTTCGCGGAAAAACAGCATAGCGTAAATGAAAAATGCCACAAACTTAAAGAAAATAAAGTATTATCGTCAAAATGCTTATGTTATTATTAAGATGAAAGAAAAAAGTATTTTTTAATTATTTTTTGAAATTTTTTAATATTTTCTAACACGTTCGAAATTTTGGTTAAAGTCGTCTTTGTTTACGTCATCGCGGTGACGTTTAAAATAACAGTTTTTTTTTTGCGTTTTTTTACCGTTGAAAACATATTGATTTGGAAATTCTTGTAAAAATAAAATAATTGTCCAATCTTAATGAAATTTTCAGGACTTAATCACAAATGAATGAAATTATTTTTCGAATATTTTGTTTTTAGAAAATTTTGGTAAAAAATATTTTTTTTAAATATGTTACCCCCCACTTAGTTAATTTCATGAAATTTCGCCCAAAACCTTTTTGGCTCCTCAATTTTATTTTTTTGTTAAAAGAAGGAGTCTTTGGAGATGGTAAATAACCTACTTTTCTTTCACAAATTTGAGCTACCTAACTGAAAATTTTGTCTGAATTGAAAAATAATGAATCCAATAAAACTATGATATTACTTAATTAGAAAAGCTTTTAATTGCTTTTGTAAATAAGTAATATTAAGGACATTATTGTCTGAAGAAATAATTTTTTTCTGATGAATAATTAATTTTTACAAGAATTTTTTCGTTTTTTAAGAAATTTTAATTATAATAATTTATAATAGTTTAATATCGTGTAAAGCTCTGTATTAGGAGGGCTCCTCAATATTATGTAATTAAGTAGAAAAAAAAATTACGAATCCAAAATTGCTAAGTTTAATAAATTTAGTTGAGCTTTTTTTTAAAAATAATTTTTATGTTGTATTTTTACTTAATACATTCCTTATTTCCATGTATGATATACAGAAATTGCCATTATTATAACAAGGTCACGTGATCTAAGGGTTTTGTCCCTTTACGTGGCCTTTTCAAAACATTTCGTTTCTTATAAGTCGTATTTTCCGTTCAAAAGTGTAAACTTTAAATTTTAAATTATTTTTTCTTTTTTTCATTTACTATTTCACTAAATAATTTTATTTTATGTATTGTATTGTGTGTGTCATACTCAAATAGAATAATTTTTTAAAAACTCAGACTTAAAAATTATGTCATTTATGGTCATCAGTAGTAGCTGTCATCGGCTCGTCAATCAATCATTATCAATAAGATCGAACAGATGAACGGGACCGCTCGTTAATAATTGGTTGTATATTATTTTTTATGCTATAAGTAACAAAAGATTTCTTTGAAATCAGATTACTTTAACTTTAAATTTTTAATTTTACTAAAATAACGTATCAGAATTTTTTTAAATATTTTAAAATCGATAAATTTGTGTTTGTTTACAAATTTCTTAAAATTAAGAAAATGGCCGTTTTAAGAAAATTTAAAAATTTGAAATTAAATTTGACAATCAAATGTATATAGTTTCTATCTGAAATACACCAGAATTGTTTAATTAATAGAAATCGTAAATTTAGTTATTAAATTTTCAATTAAAGCTAAAATGAAATCTTCAAGAATGTTTTTTCATTGTAAAAAATTCATTTTAAACTTAGGTATCGAAAATTTATGCCGAAATAGTGGAGGTACTTAGTTTAGATATTTCTGAACAAGTTAGCCGTTATACATGACATCCATATGAGTGTCTAGATCTGACAAGGCTACTTAAGAACATGACTCGAGTTTTGAGACCAATATTTTTATTTTGTTTCATCTTACAGTCTTGGACAAAAGCCACCTTTGCATAACATATCCTGCGTTCGTTCAGTTTCTTCAGCTCCTATACTAAATTTGTTATAACCGATTCCGACACCAAGGTATTTGAATTGATTAGAATTTGTTAATTCCAGAATGTACTTTTTAATCATTTCACCCCAAGCAAGGCAAAAAGTCACTAAGATACAAGGGTTTACTGAGTGTGAAGGAATAAGAAAAATATTAATAAAGAGCGAGAACAATAAAAGAACAGGGATTACGAAGACAAAAGTTAACAATTGGCATTGCATTAAAATTTTTGAAGATCAATCAGTATGGAAAGCAAGACACTGGAAAAGTTCCACACGCGAGACGTGCAAGAGAAGAAACTGTTAACATAGAACGTACGGTTGCATCTAGCCAATTCAACTGTAAATGGATGAGACCTTATTGCCAATCAAATATTGCGCTTAATTTTCGTAAAGTCTAGGTACCATAGCAGAAAGTTCCCCAGAACAATTACCATGAAAGTATTTATAGAAAATATACAAGGAAAGTACATTACAGCGGTGGGAAAGTAACTAAAGCCAAGATGCCAGGTTAGGACCAATAACATTTCGGATTATTCTTTGGATTTTACCAAGAATCTCTAAATATATAGCAGGAGGACCGGACCATATTTAGCAGCAATTTTTAAAGCATGGACCACTAGGTAGTCTCATAAAAATGTAAGATAGATTCTGGATTGAAAAATTATCTATCCGGATACAGTGGACCAACTTAAACACAGAGCAAGATTTTTTAAGAATAGGATAAACATATCCCAACAACATTAGGATAGGAATTATATATAGAAGTTAATAATTGTTAGGATCAATATTTACTTTCTTAGAACAAATATATATTTAGGATTCAAAGAGTTAACGCACCAAGGATGTAAACCAACCTAACTCTTGCAACAGTTAGCTGAAATATAAACTAAGAGATAATTGATAACATTGTTGATAATATAAGGTTTTAGTCACTACCAACAAAGGAGTATTTCTTTATCATTAAGCGATAATGGTTTTTAATTGTATAAATATAGATTGGACAACTTTGTACATGTAGAAATAATTTCGGCCTTGTTATTGTCGGACATCGAAGCGTTTTGTAATTAGAAAAAGCAGGAGTTAAATATTTCCACGTTTCTTATCATCATTCAAAATCTGGCTATGGTCTTCCATATACAATTGACATTTACTAAGCCATCAAAAGTAGCAAAGTGTATGAACTATTTTGATTATGGAGTGTTTAATAATTTAGATATTGCAAATAAAATATATTAAAAGTTGAAACAGGGTTC